AGAGTTCAGTTGGAAATTTAATACATAGGCGCTAAGGATGTCACTTAGATGGCATTCCAAATGATCAAACGAAAGGCATGCATAGTCACCAAAAACATGGAGCTATGAGATGAACCTTACAAGGCATTAAAGGCGACAACTAAAAGTAACGTACAAGGCATACTAATTAAGGAGTGTCTGAAATGACCATGGGTGGCTGGTCCCAAATCACAAATCGATGCAAAAATGTCAATGCCTATATCGACTACTCAATACGGCTTAAGGCCAACAAGCCGGAATGCATTTAGGAGCTATAACTAAGCAATGCCAAATCGACGCAGCCAAACAACTTGGACAGACCTTAAAAAGCAGTGGCAAAAAATATGCAGCAATAAGCTTCACAATGAGCTAAGCCTAAAAACATGCTCTAACAGGGCTAGACACCTAGAGGCTAATAGCGATAACAGAGCTTTCATGGTAGAGAGGGTATGCTAAGCGCATGGAGGCACAGTGGTGGTACGAATAAACCGCAATAAAGGACAGGGAGGGTTATAGAATACAAGCATATTAAGGCATATGGAAAGCAGAACAAGGACTGTCACACAAGCGCACTCTAACATGGTGGCTACGCTGCAGAGTGCCCAAAGTAGGTCCTTAATCAAAGGACGAAATCAAGGGGAAGGGGATGGGCGCTTCCTTTTGGAGACTTCATGGCACCATCATTTTCACCAAACTAAAATCCTCAAGATTTCAGTTGGTGAAGAGGCCCATAACACCAAGTTCTCGAATACTTGCTCAAATGGCTCAAAATAGGGCCTTTTCAAGGCCTAAAGAGGGGTCAAACAACCTCCAACAAAAACACACTCTTAATGAAGCAGTAGTCAGCAGACTTAAAAAACAGAATTTTTTGTATTATTAACACCATAGCTCAAAAACGATTTAATTAATGGACAGAGTTTCAAAAGTGACAAATTCGCAAAAATGGGAAAAAAAAAAAAAAATTGTTAAAAAGGTCTCTTTGGTTTTTTAGTTTTTACCCTTTGATGACCCCTTCAGCGAAGTGATGCTGTCATGTGAGCCTCCTTGGCTTGAATCGTCAACACCAAAAGCATAAAGACACAGTGGCTTTTAGACCTCAGTAATATAGGAGGTGAAATACATCTATGTGTTTGTGTGAGCAGAGTAGTGAAGTGGCCACATAGTTGTACACATGAGGGATAAAGATGAGAGATATATAGTGTAAATCAGAACCTTACACGCCTAGGAACTTTCAAACGCTGAAATGGCTGGTAACTAGTCTCCTAAATATCTGCAAGTGTGTCTAACCCTTCAAGGCCAAGAGGGACAGGCGGTGTTCGTCTGGGTCGCATTTATAGAGATAGTATCTTATTTGATCTTGTAAAGGACTTACAGAGATCAAGGTTCGCGAAGAGAGAAATCGGCTCAGTACACCGTGTATTGTGAAGGGGGGAGCCGAAAGGCAAAAGGAGAGCTAGTCTTAAAATTATGCTGCAGAATAGCTAGATGGCACAATAGTCGGTATGGCCGGTGGGCACCAAAGAGGCCAGTCTTTGGCGAACAGAAAGTTGCCGACCGGGCACCTATAATAGTGCTGATTCGCAACAAATGTGGCCGGCCGGCAATATACATTCACGGCATGGATGCAAAACACCCAGGCTGGTGGCCTCTCTTAGCACCACTGCGGGAAGTGGTGTGGTGGGTGATGGCGCCCTCACTACAGAGCAATTCCGTATGCAGCCGCTACTCAACGGCAAAGACCGACAAGTGTTATGGTGTGAAACCGAGACCACTGACTAAACAGTGTGTGCCTTTCGGAGATGCGCCTGGTATGGCAAGGCCTACGCGAGGCGCCGATGACTCCGGAGAACTCCTAAACGTGGACCAATTCCATGTGGGATAATCACAGAATACTGTATAGAAAGGAGGTGGAGACTGTCCAAGTCTTGAGGACGGTCCAAAATGGGCACCGAAGTAGTGCTCTATGAAGCAGATGGTAGTGCAAGAGCCGAATTAAACACAGATATCATGGCTGCACAGATTGAGACTCTTAATTGAAATAGTATATTTAGATACGTCTATCGGAGGGTCGCGGTCTATGCAACAGTCTCTTCTGCTTAGAAAGGTTTGGTCCCTAAACTTAAGTTAGCCTTCCCAATGGAAATAAATCGTGGGATATCGTTGTCGTCGCATCTCTTCAATCTATTTCTCCTAAGTTGCCTCCTCCATGATATGTTCTTTCCATTCCGACTTTCACCAGTATGGGAGTACATTGTGCGTTTATTGTTTTCGTTCCAATTACTTCACTTGTTGATCAATGATTCTTGCCGGCATCCTCTTCATAGCAGTATTTTCTCGTCTAAAGCGAATCTGATGATTGCGATACGATAGTCACATGGTGAATGGGTTCTAAGATACCACGTAAGCATGGATACATGGAAAACATTATGCACTTGTTCCATTCCCGAGGTTTGGCAAGGCATAAAGGTAGCACAGAACCAACCTCTCGGGAGAAATCTAAACTAGCTAATGTAGCGAGGAGTCATTGAATGGAACAAAGATCAGAGAGAAATTGCGTTTTCAAGAGTTGAAGACAAGACTGACATAAGTTCCAATTCTTATTATTAACTCTCAAGTAGCGAAGGTTTTGTAATCTTAGTGATTCATCTATAAGGGTTTGGGGTTGTGTCTTAACTGCAGAAAGGCAAGGTGATTTCATAGGCCTCTCTGGATAGTTGGGCACACGAGAGCAACTACTTGGCACCGACCTATATCTTACTATAGTTTTGTGTTTGCGTTAAAGATATGGCGTCACTATTTGTATAACGAGGCAATATGAA